CAGATTAGGTGAACGAACAATACTAAGTTTATGAAAATTAAAAAGCTTAAAAAAAATATTAATTTACAAATTTATGCTTAGAGAAGATCCAGAATGGTAAACAAAGCAGTAAACGTATCAAATTATATTAAACAATAAATGCTCGATCTTACAAGAGATAACGTAGCAATATGTTAGATAAGGATGTATGTGTTTGAGTGAGACAGAACGAAATGTAAGAAATGAATTAAAGATGTCACTATTATAAAAATTTTTAATTTGAAATTAAAGCAGGGAGCACATAGATTATTGTATATGACACTAGACTGCTAACTCCCCACATTTTCTTACATAAAAGTACTGCCTGCACGAATTAAGGTATATTCATACAAACTTGCATAGCCACATAAACATATATACATAAAAAAAATTATTCAATTGCATTTCTCTTTTAAAATCGCACATAAAATGTGATTGGATAATTTTTTATATGCATACATTTATGCGGCTATGCAAGTTGTGTGGATAAACGAGGAGCACAGACTCTTGCATAATGCATAACACGTAATGCATAAGAAAATAAACCAAAGGCCTCCGTTTCTTTCCTTTCCACGAAATAAAGAACTCTGATTGGTTGAATTTCTTATGCTTTATGTATTATGCGTTATGCAAGAGTCTGTGCTCCCCACTTTATGGGCCTTATATAATAGCCATTAGTCATAAATTAGAAGTCAGACGCTAAAAATTGACAACTGTGATTGGTCAATTTTTAGTTCCTGACTTCTGATTTACGACTAATGGCTTATTGTAGAAGACCCATTAGATGCGCAAAATAAACCGTCACGTGATCATACATATAGAAAAGAGATGTCAACAGGTCATGTGACATCACTCCATGATTGATTCAAAATGTTGTATATCTCTCTGTGATTGGTTCAAAATATCGTATATCTTTCTGTTGATTAGACTGGCGTGGGCCTTATTTTGAGAATACGTATATTTTAGGAAAATTATTGGCAGCAGTTAAAGAAACAGAGTTAGTTGGTCTAGTGTAATATATAGAAGTCTATAGGGGAGCATAAACTCTTGCGTAACACATAAGGCATAAGAAAATGAACCAATTAGAGAAACCTTTATTTCATGGAAAAGAAGGAAATGAAGAATTTTAATTGATTTTCTTATGTATTATGCCTTATATAAGAATCTGTGCTTTTCATTTAAAGGCCGCCGTACAGATTTTTACATTTAACATATAGTGCACAAGAAAATCAATCAATCAAAATTTTTTTCCATGAAATGGGAGAAAAAGAAGGATTCTAATTGATTGATTCGCTTATGCACTATGCGTTATGCAAAAGTTTATGCTGCAGCTTTTATGGTATATCCACACTTGCATAGCTGCATAAACATATGCCTAAAGAAAATTATCCAATCGCATTTCTCTTACAAAGTTGTACATAAAATATGATTGGATAATTTTCTTTATACATATATTTATGCAGCTATGCAAGTTGTATGGATATACCTTTACGCTCCTAAGTAGTCATCATACAACCATTTTGAATTGACTTTAGAAGCGAAAAATGACATTAATTTTTATTACGTACCATTTGTAAATAAAAACAATTTAGATAAAACGAAATGATGAAAGCGTTTTAAAACGATTGTAAAAATGGATGAAAACTATACTTATAGACTATCTTCCTGATAGTCAGTAAATAATTGTAAAAAGTGATAAAAGACATGCTTTTATTCAATACGCATGCGTAATCTACTTTCACTTACACGCATCCTTTCATCACTTTTTACGATTATTTACTGATTATTCACTGTCATAGAGGATAAGTATAGTTTTCGTTCATTTTTACAAATATTTTAAAACGATCTCGTTTTATTAAGGATGCACCGGATCATAAAATTACCGGATATTGAATATCTGAGCAGAATGTAACATCGAATATCCGATCGAATTCTGAGAAAATATCTTTTAAAAAAAAGCTTAAAGGGAAAAAAATTGTAATTTTGCGACAATGTATAAGATATTATAACATCATGAATATGCATACTTATTTCTAGAACATTTGTATAAGAAACAATCAACAATTTAATGATATAAAATTTCAACTGGATACTTCTCCCAAATAATAGGATATCCGGCTATCCGGTCGGATAGTAAAAAAATGCCGTATAATACCGAATATTTTTCGGATATCCGGTACACATCCCTACATTTTATTTTATTCAAATTGTCTTTATTTACAAATGGCATGTAACAAAAATTAATATTTCTTGCTTCTGATGACATAATTCAATATAATTGTGATGATTACTTAGGAGATTTCAAAAAGTCTGTATTATCGACATCGATCAAGTTTGACCGTCACTCCAATATCACCTTAAGGGAACTAGACAGTCAAAAATCGCAAAATTATCGATTTGGCAACTGAAAGGGTCGAGCGACATATGAATTCGATTTCGTCCATCTGCACATAACCGAGAGTCGGCCATCAAAAAGGAGCTATAGTATAAAAAGGGTTCACTTTTTCTAGCATACAATAAAAAATATATAAATAATGAACAGGAGCGACGGACTGATATCCTAGAAACATCTTATAACTTTTCTAGAGATGTGTATTAGTAATTGTACATACTTTAAAAATTTTCAAAATTTTTAAAGTGTTTTTTCTCTCGAAACTTTTTTCTTGGTTTTGCCCTAATTACAAACAGACGGTTCAGGTCGATTTGAAAAAAATTTAGGTTGTGTAAAACATGTATCAATCAATTTCTCCGATAAGTCTGTAAAAATTCGAGTTTAAAAAAACATTATACGTTTTTTTTCATAAAAAAATTATTTGAAAAAATTCATCGTTTTTTATCGCCATTTTAATAATTATATTCCGATTGTTTTTTTTCTTTTTTTTTTAATTTGGCTGGAAAATATTGCTATGTTCAACAGAGAAAATTAATGAGTGAACGCTCAGTAATTCTTTAATAATAATTCTTAATCTTTTTATTTTTAGTTCTTTGCGTGCAGAAAGCAATATCGTATTAAAGAATTACTGAGCGCTCACTGATCAATTTTTTGTTGAACGCAGCTTATGAGTCTAACGAATAATATTATAATATCTATCTCGCAATAAAAATGTTAATATTTCACTTTTTAAATTCTGTATCGATATAAGACTAAACAATTTTTTTCAAATTCTCATACGGTCATCCCTTTGTCACACCATTAAAAAATTATATATACACACCGCACGCACACACGCACGCACGCACACATATACAGGGTATTTCAGGATGATCGCCAAATATTTCATGTGCAGGTATAGCGGACTAAACTAAATTGAAAAGTCCTCTAACATTTTTCAATTTTCTAATAGTTAACAAGATGTTCTAATTATTAAAAATCACCGAATTATTATTTTAATAATTTTTTACTCAAATACTATCTATTTTACAGAAAAATAGTAAGAGACAAAAATTTTTTCTTCTTGTAAAGCTCTAAGAATTTTTTCAGTACTGTATTTTCTTATTAGCGACTTTTTTTATCAACATAAAAAAACAAAAGCGGTACTAAAAAATTCTGAAAAAATTCAAGTACTATTAATTTACAAAAAAACAGCAAAAGACAAAAATTGTTTATTTTATTCTCACAACTTTATGAGAAGAAAATAAACAATTTTTGTCTTTTGCTGTTTTTCTATAAATTAATAGTAGTATTTGAATAAAAAATTATTAAAAATCAGTATTTGGCGATTTTTATTAATTAATATCTTGTTAACTATTGTGAAAATTGCAAAATGATAGAAGACTTTTTGATTCAGTTTAGTCGCTCTACTTGCATATGAAATATTTGACAGTCATTCTGAGACACTGTATATCTAGAGACATGTAGTATCTCGGCGCTAAGCTAAACGCAGCGCGACATCATAGAGCGAGGCCGGCCGTGCTCCTTTACGCCGACAATATCTGTACCAATGTTTTTTCTCAAAATATATGCTGACAATAAATATTAAATAAAAAAATAAATCTGGATTTTCTTTCATTCTTTGTGTGTGTGTGTGTGTGTGTGTGTGTGTGTGTGTGTGTGTGTGTGTGTGTGTGTGTGTGTGTGTGTGTGCGTGCGTGCGTGCGTGCGTGCGTGCGTGC